ATAAACTATTTGCAGCATCCAACCTCGGTCAGTAGTCAATCCAATGAGGTCAGATTATTTAGACAGGTTAATCCCATCGAGCTTCAGGGACTCATTTACAGATTGTCAGAAATGAACGGTTTCTTTAAACTGGGGTCAGTCAGAGAACTATCTACAACAGGTAAGATATTGTTTGTTACCGCGCCACTTTAAAATGATCAGAATGTCTCTTTAACGACTGCTGGACGAACGCTCGGAGCCCTGACCTCGACACCGTTCAGGTCCTTTATGACGTGGAACTGTTTTGTGCTCAGGGGCATGCTGGTGAAGCTGAGGGACAAGTTCCGTCACCCCGACTGCTACACGTGCACGGACTGCGACGTCAACCTGAAACAGAAGGGCCATTTCTTCGTGGAGGACCAGATTTACTGCGAGAAGCATGCGCGGGAGCGGATGGCTCCGCCCGAGGGCTACGACGTCGTCACAGTCTTCCCCAAGTAGAGCTCCGCCCCCTCTCCGCCTGGCCTCGAGCTCCGCCCCCTCCTCCGCCGGGCCTCGGACTGAACCCGGCACGGACACGTCGGGTCTCGTCACGTCGTTCAGGAACGACGACGTGTTGATTTGCACAATAATTTTGAACGTAATTGGATTTTTTTCTACTCCTTGTAACGACTCGCTGTTTGTTCACTTTGATGTTGTTAATCGTCCAAACAAGAACCTTCAATAAATCAGACACTTTTTATTAATAAACATTTTTATACAACAAAAACTGCCAAAGAAACATAAAAGAATAAAAGTGCCACATAAATAAAGGTTTGGTGTATCTAACCCTTGGTGTCTGTGATGCTTTTACAGTAAAATGTGGACAAAACTTTAGGATTTCAGAGTTCTGGTCCGGTTCTGAAAACCCGATTAGTTTATTTAGAATCTGAACGTGTTGAAATGTTGGCGTGGGGAATGCTTGTCACCCGCCGGCTTTCAGGTCAAGTTTCAGTCAAGTACTAACGGGAACAGAGTGTCGGTCAAACCTGACGTGCACCGCCTCGAGCGACATGGCGACGTCTGTTAGAGCTCAGAGTTTGTGTTGAGGACGACTCTCGGCTACTACCACGCCGAATTTTAGCTCAATATTAACGTTTTTTTTTTTCCTGTTTGGTAATTTCAATTATCTGCAGGAAACATTTAAATGATAAAAGTTAATCATCCCAAGATGATTTCCTGAAAGTTCTATTATAATTCAGTCAGTGTTTCTTGATATTTTGCTAACAGCAATGGGTAAAAACATTATTGCCCGCCTTTTCCTTTTTGGTTTTCCTGAGAGAAGAATCAGCATTTCCAGGTGTTTCTCAGGTGAGTTTCTTCACAAAGTGACCTGAAGTAAAGAACAGGAAACCCTTTTGATTCGTCTTTTTGAAACGTTTGACAGACGATTTCATTTGCACAAAGAAAAGAGTCCGAGGGGGACGAGTCCCAGTCCACCGAGGAGACACTGGACGGACTGCTCAGGCCCGGCCCCCACTGCAGACCGTCGGCCAGGCGCAGGGTCTCGGTCAGGGCCCAGATGTAGTTGCGGGCAAAGCGCAGCGTCTCAATCTTGGTCAGCTTGGCGTCCTCGGGCAGCGCCGGCAGAATGTCCCTCAGGGCATCCAGAGCTGAGTTCAGGTTGTGCATCCGGTGGCGTTCCCTGTCGTTCGCCTTCATCCTGCGCTTGCGCTGTCCGCTCAGCTCCCCACGTCGTGTGGGGGGTTTAACAGAGTCTGCCTCTCTTCCAAAACCCTGCTGATGTTTTGAGGGGAAATTGTCCCTGGAGTCCACAGAGGAGCTTTTAGAGTTTTTGATGAAGTTTGGAAGACTTGAAGAAAACCTGCAGGATGTCTTGGCAGCTGTGTGGAGGTCCTCAGGGGTGCAGCTGGTTTTAGGAGACATCCTGTATGAACCACAACAAGTAAATCAGTAAGTGGTCCAACATCAGGGTCCCCACACGGGGCACCAAATTATACACTGAGTCCTAGCTGAAAATTCTGGTCAGTATTTAGTTTAAAATGGTTTGAAGTGAATTCTGTTTGTCTGATTATATAAAGCAGAGGTCTGCAACCTGTGACTCTGAGGCCACTTGTGGCTCTTCTAACCCTCTAACGTGACTCCATGGAACAGACTAAAATAATATGAACCGGAGTCATTTTTAGTCTGAAACACCTGGAAACTAATTAATGTGTGTTTCCTGTCTGCAGCTGAATTTCTTTGAAACACACAAGTGAGCTGCTTGAAACAATTTTCACCTGAGAGTAATCAACGCATCAGTTCACACAAACGTATCGCAGCTTCCTGATGCTTCAGCATCATCTGAACGTGACTCAAGATTTTACTGAAATGTGTTTAAAACTCTCATTAGTTTTACTGTTCAGGTCTCAATCTGTAAACCTGTTCTTCATTTTGTTTATGCAGCTTTTACCGTTCAGTACATCATTTAAACACACCAGAAAATTTTTTACGTTTTTCAACTTATTTATTGCTTTAAATGCAGAAATTGGAATTTTGCACATCTGCTTTAGACTTTCAGGCACTGAAACATATAGAACGTTTCTGAAAAGTGTATTTAAAAAAACTAAGCTTGACTCCAATAAAACATTTAGCAGATTCAGTTCATTTAAAAACCCACTGAGTTCTCCTTTGCAAGAGAGACCTGGGCACAAAGGAAATGGCACACACGTGTAAAAGAACAGAGTATAACGTAATAAAATGACAAACATTTGAATAGTTTAAACATCAAAAAAACTAAAAACTGCAAAAAAATACAAAGGTTGTATTTTATTATAAAGTTAGTGTTTCATTTCTCTTTAAATGAGAATGTTTGCAGGTTTTTTTAACAAATCTCTTTCAGGTCTGAACAAGAATGTTGATCCTTTGTGCAAAAGTGTTTCTTTTTTCTTTTGCCTTATAGATGAATTTTTATCCATCAAAGTTACAAAACATAAACAGTTTTTAAACATATATTAAACAAAATTTTATCAGGTTTAGTAAAAAATAAACGAATTTTGTGGATCCAAAACTTTAAGCTCATTGAAACGTCACATGATCTGAAATTGAGTTAAAAAATGTAGTTTTTAACTCAATTGTATCCAATTGAATTAAAAATATATACATTTATTTTCCCAAATACAGAATCTATGTAATTTAGAAGCTTGTTGATTATGGAGAAATAAATACAATTTAAAAATACTTCTTATGCCTTGCTTTTTCTTCATTTTTATTTCTTCATTTACTATTAATTAAAATGTTTGATCATAATCCATCAATTTTAATATAATAAAAAAACATCTGTTAATGTTTTACTAAAAGAAAAACACATTTTGGTGCCTATTAAATGAAAATGTCGACATCTTTTCTCGGCTACAAGTTAATCTGCAAAGTCTAAAAAAAGTTAAGTCAGGTTCAAAAAACAAAATTGTAGAAAAGTTTCATCTTTCATCCAAAACACTTCTTCAATCATTATGACTGAAGAAGTGTTTTGGATGAAAAATGAAACTTTTCTACAATTATTTTGTTTTTTGAACCCGTCCAGAGGAACTGACTTAACTTTTTTAGACTCACCTGGATTACTGAGCAGGGAATTAATCTGCAAAGATTTGACAGTTCTTTAGTCGTTCCTTCCCGTCAAAATTAACATTTATTAAAATGTTATACTTTATTATTTCAAGTTCCGCGTCGTCTACATCAGAAATACGATCTGATCGGGTTTTGAAGCTGCAAGTTGCTTTAAGTTTAAAATCTTATCCATGGGCCGAATACAAATGTCACAAGAGTCGTGTCTGGCCCATGAGCCTTCAGTTTGAAGCTGCAGCCAGAAAAACTTAACACACAAAAAACTTTAAATGAAATAAACTTTTAACCAAATCTAATGATCAGAAACCAAATCATTCAGACCTGACTGAACATGGTTGGATTTTTATTCTTGAGCAGAACTTTGGTGCAAATCGTTGTTTTTTTTCCTTTATTTGAAAAATTAAAGTTATTTACAAAAACATAAATCTGGACATCATAGAAACTAACAAGACGGATGTGTTTGAACTTACATTTGAGCTCGTGAAGTGAGGATGAAAAGGCCGGAAGTCGCGACGGAGGCAGAGCGCGCGTGCGTCTGAGGGATGGATGCGCATCTCTGTCATTTTATGTCCTCTTTATCTTATCTTCTGCGCGTGGACGCCTGAATCAACAGCGTGTGTCAGGTGTCCAATCAGCTTCCAAAGACAGTGCCCCTCACCTACACACGCGCGCGCGCGCGCACACACCCTCCAATCTTCAGGTTTCAAGCGCTTCATTTGTTTTTCCTGAAGAGTCTTTTGTGAAACAGTCACAGAGATTTAACAGTTACTGAGACGAACAAACGTTTATTAAAAACTGCACATTTAGTCTGCAGCTGTTCTTCTGTCTCTCACACTCACGGATTTATGTTTTCCGGTTTGATATTTCGTAAAATAAATAAATAAATAAATGTTGTTTTATTTAAAATGAAAGGTTGAAGGTTTGTCTCTGAGAGGTGGATTCTAAAGGAGGAATATTAGAATTTAGAAATAAAAACTTACACACCACCAAGGAAGATCCTGCGGCGGATTCTCTCCAACTCAGATCAATAAGTGTAAATATATTAATTTATGTCAGTTTTGGTGAATATTTCTTAAATCGGATCATTCAACACGCAGATCAGCTGAAGTTTAGCTCATATAGAAAGATGTTTGGGCACTTGGTTTGAGCTTTTTGTGGTAAACGTTCCCAGACCTGTCCATTCTGATGGAGAGCCGTCGTGGCGAATTTTACGCACTCAAAAAACTGCCACGCGCCTTGCCTTAACGCGTGCACAATCATATCCTAAGTAACTTAAAGTTTTTTTTTCAAATTTCACAACAGTGAAACGTAAAGTAAATATTTATTTTTAGTTGTTTGTAAAAAAAAAAAATTGTGGTACGTGAATGCGCAGACTGTGCGCAAAGATGTCCATTTAAAAAAATCAGTTGCAGCAAGATTACTCTTATTTAAAAACTGTCTGCTTTCATCACAACTTTCAGATAAAAATTTACTTTCCATCATAAAAATAAGCAGCATTAATTACCACGTGCCTTTATGGAGAGACGTTTTGCGTTTAAGCGCAAATTCCCGCGAACTGGACAGAGACATTTACGCACGCGGCCAGCAGACAATAAGGGCCGGACAGATCAAAGTTTTCTGTGCGAAATGAAAGTACAAAAGGTCTTTTTGTCTGTCACGACAACAGCGACCCAATTTCACCTGTCACGTGGGTTTATACCCGCGCGCCATGACGTCTCCAAAAAACTGTCGGTTGTGCTCAAAACTCCATGACGCGCTGCTTTTTTACACTTTTAAAGCAAGTTAAAGATTAGTTAAACGGGACCCAACATGCAGACACTCTGCTTAGAGAGGAGGGGGTGAAAGCTGAGCTCAAACATGATTCAATGACAAACTGCTGACAAAACACCACTAAATGCTCCCCTTAACTTTCTGTCCAAATATGTGCTCCGCGGACCTTCTGATAACCATATGCTTTCAATAAACTGGACAAACACACAGGTGAGATAGGAGATGGTGGCTCGTGTTGTAAAAAGGCAGGAAAAGGTCTAAAGTAAACGGAATGTCAGGCCTTTACAAATAATCCTGACGTGAAATCCATGTGGGATGTGTGGGGCAGGTGCGCGCGAGCCTGTCAGACTCTCCTCGTTATTTTTTTTTTTACATTTTGTTTTATCTTTGAGCTCTCGTGTCCCGCTTGTCGTGGAAAGTGTGGGCAAACACAAGAGACCAAATCCCAGATATGGACGCAGACTCGACGCGAGAGCAATTTAACAATATTTAACAATAAAGAGCTCCGGAGCAGGTGATGCTTCAAACCGCCTCCCCGCGCGGGTTTACAGTCTCCTCCGCTTATTTATCAAAAACCAAAATCTATTTATTATTATTTTAGCAAACAGAGGAACCAGGTGGGGCTTTAGTCCCACTCGGAGCTTTTTGTTTGAAGGACGTTTTGAGGGGGGACAATCAAAGTCCAACAACTCGCTGACCAGATTGTTGCCATCCCAAACCAGCAGCCTTTCAAAGCGCCCCCCCTCCACCCCCTCCCTCCCCTCTGTCTGCCTGAGGAGGAGAAAAAAGAAAAGGAACTTCTTCAGGAGACGAACAACATCTTAAAACATTTAATTGCAACCCGGATGCCATATGTACTCCTCTTGTGAGACCCCCGCAACAATGCGAGCGCCTTGGAGTGCGCCTTTGGAGACGCGTGCGTCTTTGGAGAGGTGCGCGCCGTCGTGACCAGCATGACCCCGAGCACACTTTACACAAGAAGTAATTCACTTTTAATGCGCTCTGGAGCTTCTTTTCACGGGCCACGCTTTGTGCGGAGGTCCTCCGGGAGCGCGCGTCTCTTTTTGTCCACGTTGGACATTTGAAAGACAAAAAAGAAGGACAGGAGCTGCAAGTCGCTCTTTGTTGTTCATCACTTGTTCGGGAGGAAAAGAACCCGTTTGGAACAGATAGAAGAAGAAACTGAAAAAGATCTGAAGTAAAAATCTGAATATTAAAAATATCAGTAAAAATAAAATCGTGCCATTTTTTATTGAGCTTTTCATTCATAAAGATGTTTATTTCAGTGAAACACCGTTTGTAGCTCCGTTTTTAGCACAAATTAAACTCTTTTGTGTTCCAGATTAACTTTTATTAATTTTTTTAAGGGTCACATTTAAAAATATATTTTTTCTAATATTTCAGTTTCTTAATTAAATGTAAAAAAATAGCCTTAATATAAAGCATGACAGATTTTATTAGTTTAATTTTTGTCCTCTGAATTCAAAATGAGCTTAAAGGGATGATTCAGATTTTTTATGTGGGGTTCTACGGAAAAGTTATGAACAGTTAATATTTTACCTGTTGTAGATGGCTGCTTGATCGTCCTCAGTCTGTAAATAAAAACAAGTTTTAATCTTTTCTGCACTCTGTGGTTATAGCAGCAGCTAACTGTAGCACTTCCTGTGCAGGCTGAGGCACCGCCTCCAACAATATCTAAACGTTTCTTCTGGAAGAACAACTTGTCGTGAATTTAACAGCGATGCGAAGGAGCACTCATGTGAAACACTACGAGATTTTAAGACGACGTCAGACTTTGCTCGTCAGTCAAGTCAGAAACTGTTTCTCCAAACAGGTAAGATATTGACTGTTCGTGACCTTTTTACAGAAGCACGCTTTGACGGATCTGAATTTTAGGAAGCCAAAAAATGCTGAGAATATTTTTAATATTAGAGACGACAGCGGACAGGATGGATGGTGGGGCAGTGGCTGGCGCTGTCGGATCACAGCAAGAAGGCCGCAGATTCGTCTCCCAGCCTGTCTGGGTTGAGTTTACATGCTGTCCTCATGCACACGTGGGTTTTCTTCAAGTACTCCAGTTTACAATCCAAACTGATAACTTTAAAGTGACCCTAATGAGAGTGTCTTGTTGTCTCTGTGTCCCTCGAACTGGAGACCTGTCCAGGTGTCCTCCGCCTCTCGCACGGGGACTGCAGGACAAAGGTACCAGCTCGTCTGTGAAGTGGACAGGAGAAGTGGGTGAAGACAAGAGAAGGATGAGGTGACGGCTTCTTTTATAAAACTCTGACTGAAAACAAATTTATATAAAACCTGTTAAAACTAAGAAAAATTTGAACTCTTCTTTACTTTATTTGATAAATATGACTCAGCGTTTCAAAACTGTGACTTAGCATCTCATAATGATTCAGCATCTTAAAAATTTCAAGATATTTCCATATTTTTATGATTTAGTATTCCAATATTTTTGTGATGCGATCTAAAATTAATTACTCAGTCACTACTTATCAATTTTTAAAACACTTTTGCTGCACAGATTTACAGACGAAGATTAGAGCCACAATAAATAAAACGCAATAAAATAAGAAATGCAAAAAAAAGGTAGCTGACTTATTTTTGAGAGTTTTGGGATTACATTTAAAAATTTGACTTTAATGAAATAAGTAAAAAAAATAAAAAAAAACAACCCAAGAGTAGGATTTTTAAAACTTTAATCTTATAATTCAGCGGAAAAATAAATAAAATCTGATTTACAAACATCGCAGCGGCTCTAATGAACTTCTGTTCTGAACCCCGGGGGTTCTTTTCACGACAGAAGACGCAGGAAAAGCCACGACACTTCCCTGTTTACGTCGTAGATCTACACACCATGCGGAGCGGCGCGGACCGCTGGGTTTCCCCTCTCGCTTGAACGGTCTACATTAATGTCAGATCTGCACATGCGCAGACACTTGCGCAGAGTCGCCGCTGCTTCCTGAATCAGAGTTAGCTTGTTTCTGAGGGTTGTTTAGGACCGACAAGACGTGAGTCGAGGACACAAAGCAGCTGCCGGGGTGGGATTTGTCTTTCTCTCTGTGAAGTGGACTAAAAGAAGACTTCCGGGGACTTTTGTCTCGGCGACATGGACTACTGGGTACGTATCTGGAACAACCGGAGGCGAAGTTTTGTTTATTAAGCTAATAAAGGAGTTTTGTGTTGTTGTTGGGATAAAAACACAAACAGTGATTTTACTTTAACTTCGCATACTCACACATTATGCGCGTATTGTAAAAATAAAACCACGCATCGTGTATTTATTAAGTTGAGTTGTTATTTCTGTGCTGATGAGGCAGTTTAAAGTTGTTACGAGGCTACATTATGATTCTGTTCAGCAGGAAGTTAAAACTTTGTGTTTGGATGTTCAGGTTCGAGATATTTGCAGCAGATAAAACCATGAAGAGAAGCAGTTCTCTGTCCTGACAGCTGAGGAAGAAGAAGCTCCTCCCCCCCAAGAGTCTGTCCTCAGCTGATGTTTTTCAGGTTTTCATGAGGACTTGACCTCATGTTGGACAACAAAGGGTCTCTTTTGAAGGAGGTGGGTCCAAAGGAATGGGCGTCCACAGCCGAACAATGAGCCGGGACAACGCTGGTCCCGGAGTCTTTGTGTGACCCGGCTGAAGTTTTCCTGAGGCCGGTTTGGGTCCACGCTGACGCCAGAGGCAGATGACGCCCATCGGATCTTATCCAACCTCTCCTGCACCGTGCAGCCGATCAGGCCCGACCTGAATGAGAAGATGCTTTCGAACAAAACTGAGAGCAGAGAAAGTGCCGGAGCGGGAGGGGTGTGTGGGGGGGTGTCAACAACCTTCATGTCATTTGAATTCTCCAGCAGAAAGTTGCTCCCCTGTGCAGGTTCTGGGATCTTGTTTTGAACTTGTTGCCGTGATGCTCACGCGGACGTTCATGTTGAAATTTGAACCTTAAGCTTTGCGGCTGAGGTGGAGCGTCTCCGTTATCAAACCGCCGGCCTTCGAGTTGTAAAAGCACTCCTGGGTGATAATAGACCTCTAGTTCTGCTGCACTTTCCAGTTCTCCAGACCTCCTCAGGTCGGGAGAATTACTCACATTCACGTCACGTGTCGTTTCTACGAGTCTGGGCTCAGGAGGTCTGTGTGCTTACAGACGAGCCTTCTGTCTTTTCGGCTGATTTCAACACAGCTGGTGGGAGGAGCTTAAAAGTGGTTTACAGCATACCTGACACTCACCTGGCGGTCTGACACTTTGCTTTAGAGCTCTGAACGATGACCTCTCATGTAAGTGAGCCGGTGGCGCGGCGGTTTCTGCTGATGTGACGTTTGAATCATTGGCGTGTGTTTGTTTGCAGAGTGCCTTGGAGGTGTACAAGGAGATGGTGCTGCTGTACCTGGAGGAGGGCCGGCGCCACATCAACGCCCGCTGCGCCGACCTGGAGCCGTGGCAGCTCATCGGGGCGTCGGTCTTCACCACGCTGGGGGCCATGTGGCTCCGAGGCTTCCTCTTCCAGCAAGAAAGTAATGTTTCCCGTGGGGTCCGTGCAGCTTTCAATGTTTGTGTGGGTTTGAACAGATTGACAGGGTTTTGTTCTGTAGAATAGTTGTAGCAGCGTTTGGGTCGTTCTGTTCTTTGCAGGCATTTTTATCACAACGTAACTTCCAGTTCGCTCTTATCTGCGTCACGTTATCTCAAAACCTGAAAACTGATAAAAACTTTCCTGTCATCAAAATGCACCTCTTGTATCTCTGGTGTTTGTCAGTCGCAGTCTGAACTTTGTTTGCTCTCTTGATGAATGTCCTCAACTTCAAGGCTTTTATGATTTTTATTGAAACTTTTCTGTTTCCAAACTTTAAGACGAAAAACTGTCATGACTTTTAAAAACAAGAACTGAGCACAAGTTTAGATTTGTTGTGAATTTTCTTTAACAAGATGATAATTATACATTCTGGCCCAAAGATATCAACATACGCCCACAGACACCTGGTTAAAAGTCTGCTGCACTTTACCTGTAACCAGTTAGAAACCAGTTCTGATGCTGTACCCAGTCAGAAACCAGTTCTGATGCTGTACCCAGTCAGAAACCAGTTCTGATGCTGGAACCAGTCAGAAACCAGTTCTGATGCTGTACCCAGTCAGAAACCAGTTCTTATGCTGTAACCAGTCAGAAACCAGTTCTGATGCTGTAACCAGTCAGA